ACTGTGCATCCCGCCCCTTCATCCACGAAATCACTCGGCGATGGCGCTTGGGCATGACACCATGTTGCCTCACCCCGCCGTTTTCGAGACTTCCATCCTCAATTAATTAAACTGCACTCCCGTAAACACTTACTTCTCTTGGCGTGTCCTGTATTAAATGTCGGTGTCCTGCCACGATCAACGTCGCGCACCGTGATGCGACAGGCCCCAGCCAATCTATTCGTTTGTTGAATGACTGATACACGTCCGTGCTTTATTGGACAGCTATATATTGTATGAGTGCCCACTGGACACGCCGGTGGACTTCTACATGCCAGACCGCGCATTAGCGTTATCCTGGCAATTCGGCGGATCCTTTCTGTGTTATCCTCCACATCGTCACCAACGAGATCTAGTAACAACCCTTCTCGCCTTGTCTGTTTTGCTAGTACAGTAAACAACTGAAAAGCAAGTACTCGTGATGGTGCTACGTTGGTCCGTCATTCAATTGTCGTCCATTGCGACGCATCTCGCGGGAGGGTTAGTCATCGACATCGCTTACAATGCAAGCAGACGAGGAGTCTATGGCGATGCACATGATGTGCAGGCCCGACGATGACACACCAGCGGGTCTAGCGATGTACAGTAAAGAGCGGCCCCATCAAGATGCTTCATGTTTTGACTAGGAGGTCCACATAAGAACTGAATTGACATCGTGACGTTGACTCTTTCCAACACCGTTGCTACGAGCTCCTCGCTCAAAACCTTTTTTTTTTTTTTTCTTTCTCTTTATCACATGATGCTTCGTGAACAAGTACTGTACTGTACAGCATCCTGAACATTACTGTACTCTGTACATGGTGAACAGTCTACGTACCCTCCGAAGGGTACAGTATGTACAGTTGAAACAACAGGCACACAGGCACAGTACCCTTGGGTACTGTACAGAATGACAGGTAGGTGGCGCCATGTAGCAGTTTTATGGGCCCGAAGACAGTACCCATCTCGTCGCCATAATTTGATAAATGGCGCAATTTGGTCACCATTCATGTGGTTGTAGTGGTGAGTTTAATGTTCTGATGTCGTTTTTCCCCGAGGCAAGCAAGGGAGTCAAAGGAACGGTAGGGAGATTACAAGTACAGTAGTGACCTTCCGATAAGAGCCCCCTAGGCCAACCCTTCATACTGCTCCAATTCCGAGGTTGCTCTTATTCAAGAATTGAAGCATAATGCCCATTCTACTCACTGGAGCGCTCCATCATCTCACCAAAACGCAGTTGCCTGGACTTTTGCATAGAACCCCTCTGTCGTAAGCGCGCGAACACGTTTCTCATTGTCGGAATTTCCCCGGCAGCGGGGAGGTTGATCTGAAACGTGTCCACGGGAGCGCGGGCCACTGGGGTTCTGGGCGCGAGGGGGGGCACAGGCCGGTGTGACGCGAGGTGCAAGGCAGGAGGACGGGCCTTTTTGTTATCGGTGCAGGTGGTGCGGTTTGGTCTGTTGGGGTAAATCGTGATGGGACGAAGACGTATGCCGTCTTCGCCCCGCGCCTTTTATACTGTCACTCGGACTTGACCGAGTGGTATTAAAATTGTCTTCAGCATCTCATTTTGGGTGGTGCTACCTAGAAAACTGCCTCTATAGACTTAATTGGAAATGTTCCTATTGTACGTGGAGGGATCCTTTACGAAGACCCTCTTTGTTAGGTAACACCTCACTAATTGTCGTTGATAGGTGGGTTTGCGCCTCGCGCGAGCTATCGCTCGTACAATCGAGCGATTGTGTAGTCGCGCGGTAGTGAGGGAGTGGGTGATCCGGCCAATGCCTTCAAAGCGAGAACGCGCTCCGGCCAATGCCTTCGCTGTAGAAAATTAGCTTGGTGCCTTTACAAATCTGATTAACGTTCTAACACTAGATCTGCGAGGCAGTTCCAACGCATTCTGTGGGTGCGTTGGACACTGCGGAGTCATCACCACACGTACGAAAAGACTTGGTAGCTGATAGTAGAGTTTATTTATCTGACCATACACAAAGAAAATGTGCACAACAGCTTTCTCATCGCATCTGACAGATAATATCGCGGCTCTACAGTATCCTAACAACTAAGGCTTTCTTCATCCTCTTCGAGCAATGCCCCCGCACCTTCTTCCATATCTATGCCCCGAAGCTCGCGCTCCATCCTACGCCTTTTACGATACGAGGCCTGCGCTCTCTTCCGCTTTGCTACTGTAGACTCGGCAATTTCTTTGAGGCGCTTTCTGTAGCGCTCATAAGTCTGATCATCGGCGTCCCTCAGAAGATGCCATCGAATATGAAGATTTGTAAGCGCAACCGTGAGCTTGAATATACCATCATACAGAGACCCACTCCATCTGTACTTGTTTGCCGCGATAGCCCACAAAGCAGATTGCCTTCCAAAGTAGTTCTCCACTATAATGCGGTCCCCTGAAATGTTTTCATTCTCCCTACGCTGTTCCAATGTGCGCACTCCTCCCGTGGGCTTTTTCATGGGCATTACTGCACGAACGTCACTTTGGATTCCTTGATAGCCCTTGTCAAATAATATGGCCCAATGATTCGGATGCTCATCAACCCCATTACTAATGTCTGTGATTGCTCGCTCCTCAGCAGATTTTTCAACAGCATCAAGGTGAAAGCCAAGATTACGACGAAATATTTCAATGTCTCCTACTGACCCAGGCTCGTGTGCGCTGCAGTGTATCGCGAGGCCATTGGGAAGGACTGCAACTTCCGTCTTGTAACCGTAGAGTTTATGCTTGCCCGAAAAGTAGCGCTTTGATTCCTCGAGTGAACCACCGGGACGATAAGACTGCTGAAAGGTGACGTCGCATGCGTAGAGACACATT